GATAAAGGAGACCCCAGTGCCTGTTAAACTATGTCATAAAATAAATAATAATAATAACAATAAATAAAATGATGCAAGTGTGGACTAATGCCCAGTTTGTGAGCTCTGGGAAAGAGAGACATTGAAGATAGGCAGAGAGGTTGACCATCTCTGAAAGCCAGCTCAAAGCGAAAGTGTGGCAGAAGAAGACATTGGTTTCTGGTTTGGGAAAATTGATGCATGAGAATTTCATCAATGAAAATAAGGTCTAAGTGGCAGATTCTGTTTAAAAGAGAAAATTCCACCAACCCATTTGGAGATGATGAACTCTGTTAGCAACCAGGAGACGTATCTAGGGGTCTGGAGGGTTTACCACATCTCCTGAGAGAATTTGGGGATGGTATTATTTTCATCCACTGTGACATCTGCATGGCCCTTTTGAATGTTCAATTACCTAAAAGATCTATAAGGGCAGTATGATAAAAGAAATTAAGCCTAAAGGGAAAAAACATGTGGTTTTCATCTGAAGAACTAAGGAGAGGTCAGGAAGCTGGAAGACATTAGGGCTTCCATCCTGGAAACACAGGGGGCAAAACTCATACAGTTTGAAAAGAATCAAAGGAAGACAGAAGAGTATATTTTCCTTCTTTGTATGCCAAGCCTTGTCCCAGTTTGCATGCCCTTGAGAGAAACAAAGTATTCCAGCCCCGGTCAGACCTGAGATACCATGCACAGGTTCCCAGGGCAAGGGAGTAGCAGAGTTGAGGGTGACAAATATGTATGCATGCAGGAGTATATTGAACAGCCTCACCAGCACCAGGACTCTGAAAACACTCCAGATATGAACATGTCAGGAGCAGGGTTTATTTTCTGCTTTTGATTCCCGTGGCCATATTCTCATGCCAGTGCCTGATTGTTCCTGGGAGTCATCATGCATACTGACTTTCAATTCTCTTTCTTTCTCTGTTTCCATATACTGTTTCCAGAAGCAAGAGGTTCCGTTAGGAGAAAGGTTTTCTTCCCTTAGCTTTTTTTTTTTCCCCTCCATTTGGCTCCTGCTTCATCCCAGTCAGCCCTCCTGCTTGTGGAGGCAACCAAAAAAGGGAGAGGCTTTTCCTTTTGAGCTCTGGGTGGGCCTATGGTTGACTGATGTGGTTTGCCCGGCTGTGGCTGCAGGTGGGAACAGAGCAGCCCACACATGTTGAAACGAAGCCTCAAGTCTGTCTAAGCAGGCTGGTGCTTAGAGAACTGAGGAGCAAACTCAGGAAAATCCATTCAGAAAATGGATTCTCCCAGCAAGTTGATTCTCAATATTAAGTTAAACACTATGAAAAGCCTGAGGACTAAGTCTAGCTTACCACCAGAATGTGGCATGCTGCCATAAAAAAATGCTCTTCTGATATTGGAATATAATAAATTAGAAGGTCACAGAAAGAATCTACCCTCACCCCTCAAAAAACAAACATGAAAACTCCTCCAATGACTCAGCAATTACTTGCAAAATTGACAAGCTCTATATCTCAACATTATCATTTTCTATAGGAAGCTCAGAATGGAACTTGTCCATTTGGCAATTGCACACACAGTGACTTGAAAGAAAAACAGAGGAAAATATAGCTTTATTATATGATTTCTTCAATTTAAAATTAATCTACCTATCATAGATGAAGAAACCAGGAATTGATGGCATATACTGCAAAACTAGAGATGTGGGGAGAGGCCATGTGTATGATGGGTGGGCATGTGTATGTGTAGGTGGAGTTCTGATATGTCAACATGTAATATGTGTGCAGTGTTCAGAGTGTGGGGAAGGTTTTTTTTTAAAGACTTAGATACTTTATTTTTAATTAATGATTTTTGCTTATTAGAGAGAGAGAAGCCTCTGGTCAATTCCCTGAGTACCTGCACAGTTATAATTGGGCCAGGGCCATTATCAAGAGCTAAAAACTCATTGTAGGTCTCCTATGTGGGTGACAGGGACCCGGTCTCTTGAACCATCATCTGCTGCTTCCCAGGATGGGCAGTAACAGAGAGCTAGAATGCAGAGAGGATCCAGAGGCTCCAATCTGGGTGTTCCAGTGTGGGAGGTGGGTGGCCTAAGTAGTGTTTTAACCATTAGGTCAGAGATTTTCTTTTCTATGGAATCACAAAGACAGAAATAATTGTAGACCATGGCACCTTTCTCTTTAGGAGCAAAAGATTAACAAAAAAGTGAAGACATAGATATCTAAGAAACTAGGAAAGAGAAATTATATCTAAAATTATTGAAAAGTAGGATTTATAGCAACTATATATTTTTATTTGGATCTTTTCTTTTGGAGTTTAAGCAACTTTGGCTCAGGAAAAGAAAGATCATAGTGCAGTTGCAAAACCAAAGAATGGACTTTGTAACATCCCCTGAGATTTACTGTTGTTGGGATCCTTAGATGATGGGAAGACAAATGACAGAAACAGAACAGGGACCAAGGGATATTCAAGTTGAGAAGAACCTGGGGTTACTGAATGGCTCTGTCCTCCCCTTCAGACACAGATTCATCCCAGAGCAATGGCCAGAAACAGAGACAGCATACGGCATTATGTGCTGCTGGGACATTTGTGAAAATAAGTGGGTATTTAAGCAATGATGGTGAAAGCGAATGATTGAATTGGGACATCATATATTTTTCAGATGATACTTTAACTGGTATCTGAGCCACATTAGAAGTGTTGCTAGATGAAAGCAACCCTTCAGACCCATTCTTGCATTGTTTTTTTGCTGTTGAATATTAAGTTCTGTGCTTCTTGCTGGATGAAAGAGCTCAAAGAAAATGCCAAAGATTCAATCAGTAGTTGGTCCATATTAATTAACACCAGAAATTTAGCCCAAAATGTTGTTTGAGTTGGCAATGGAAATCATTTCAAAAGCAAAACAAACAAAACAAAACAAATCTTAAGAGGAGCCAAGGAGACTCGTCTACCCTTACACCCATGAAAGGTTCGCTTCAGCTTATCAAAACAATTGACTTCAACTTTTAGGTGACAGCTACAAAGGTCACATTCTCTGTGATCACCAAAATCCTTCAGTATGCCTGATTTTACATTTTCCAAGTAAGACAAGCTATGTGACTTCCTGTGTCTCCAAATGGAAACAGTGATTCCCCCAGCTTCCACAGATTCCGTGTATAATAATGAAGTTAGAGCCACAGCAAAGGATGAAACCCTTACAGTGAGTTGTGGCACAGAAATCCCCAAATTGTACCATGTTGGGGATCCAAGAGACACCAACTGATCCACAGGCCAGGCTTGTGGTAAGCTGCCTTGTGGAAATGGCCATGGCACTCTGAGCATGGGGTCCTCTTCCCACGTTTGTAGTCCACCTCGGGGAGTTGAAATTAAATTAAGTCTCACTTAAATTGGATTTTCTCCCATTACATCAGGATTTGCAGAATCTTGCCAATGTTTGGTAACTTGCTAATTGGTAATAGGGTAGTTTCAGACTGGATGGCTTCATCCCTTTTCACTATTGCTGAATAGATCTGTGAGTGATCTATCAAGGACAGTTTCTCTTCCACTCACTTTTTATTTTCAAGAGCACATTTCAGTTGATGAACATAATATGCCACTGGAAGTGAACATTACAATGAGTTTTGCACTGATCTGAGGACATGGACATATTAAACTATGCCAAAATGTTTCATGTAGTTGACTTGTGAGTTCTGTTTTTCACTTTTTTTCAAATATTACCTGAGAAGGATTTGAATCTTTGATGAATAATGAAAAGCTTTTGAAACATAACATACAATAAGGAGAATTCTGTCTCAAGACCTATGCTCTAAGGCATTGAAGAACTGGAGCTTAAACTGGTTCATTTTCTAATGTTCTTTCACCTTCTCATTATACAATCATCCACTGTCTGCTGAAACTGAAACAAAAATAGCATGAGCTAGAATTAAGCAACACAACTTCCATAAGCTGAAGCAAGTCTCAGTAACATGTCTCGATTGTTTTATTTGAATGCATAACCAGCAGATGTGCTTGGTTTTATTTAGGTACTTCTAGAAGTACAGGTGTTTGTGGAACTCACGCCCCTGTTAAATATATCTTCATAGAGAAGAATGTGAGCTGATTCTAACAGAATCCTAATTAAGTGAATAAACTTAATACTTCTGAATCTGCCTATTTTTCAACATCTGTCAGCATAAATTAATGGCAATAACACTTAAATATATTTAGTTTTCATTTTAATTGGTTGAGAAGTCAGAGCTATTTATTTTTTCCACAAAATGACCCAAATCTATGGAAAAGAAAAATGTATTTATAAAATGTTAAAAAAAAAGGCAGTATGCATCTCTACTTCCACATAAAGATGGACTTACAATGAAACTGTCTACTATATTCTTGACAATAGGATGCTGGATTCTCTGCCATTGTCCATGCCCACAATGATGGACATATGACTGTGTATGAAGAACTATACTTTAGTAATGATATAGAGGAACTAGGTGGGCCGGGGAAATTGGGGCTAGGGTAAGGGAAATGCCAGGAGTCTATGGAACTGTGTCGTAAAATGATGATGATGATAATAATGATAAAATGTAAAAAAGAAAAACATATATTTTACCACAAATTCATGCATCCCTGACTTGCCTCTATAAGGATATATGGGACATGGTAAAACCATCACCATCCCATTAGAATTTTATCTTTTATAATCTTTTTCACTAAAAAATGAAGTTGGCTCAAAGGTTGTCATCATCTTAAGGAAATGACGTTTGCAGAGTTGTTTCAAGCTTGTCATTTTATTGAGTGAATCCCTCCTTGTAACTTAATTAAGCAAGGAAATTCACCTCTTCAGTCCTAATTTCAGGTTTATGTAGTCCAAGAATGATGAACCTTGGTTCAACTAAAAGTAGCTAAAGAACTGAGCACCTATGAAGAAAATGGAAGCAATGTTAAAAACCTATAGCAGGGGGAAACGTTTTACTCTCAGTGAATATATATTTTTATTTAAAAATTATTTTCATTGTTTTTGAAAAGCAGAGTGATAGAGGAAGAAACATACACACAAAGAGAGGTCTTCCATTCATTAATTTATGCCCCAAATGCGAACAATATCTGAGACTTGGCAAGGTTGAAGTCATAAGCCCTGAGTTTTATCTGGGTTTCCCACGTGGGTGACAGGGATCCAGACAATTGAAACTGCTTCCTCCTGTGGTATGAAATAACAAGAAACTGAAATGGAAGTGGTGTAGCCAGGACTTGAGGCATAGGATACAACTGTTCCCGCATGATGATTTAACAAGTACGCCATATCCATCATTATAACAAATGCACACATACGTGTGTATATATAGAAATGCTGGAGACAGAAAGGAGTGGCACACATCCATCTGTCCAGTCTCATCTCAAGGACATCAGACGTTGCGTTTGGTGGTCAGACTGGCTCCTCAGATATGATTAGGATCAGTTGTCAGTATTCTTTCCCTCCATCCATGGCAAACGGTTACATGACCAGGCAGAAATTACGGAGGAGATGTGCAATTGTGCAGAAACAAACCACTGTCAAAGTGAAAACCAAACACCTGCAGTCAAGCTCTCAGCCCATTTCATCCTCTGTGGCTCCACGCTTCTACAGATGGGCTCTCCTTTCTGAGGACAAACCTAGGAAAAACAGCACCAAAATACTTTAGATTGAAAAATAAAATTTCATTTATCTTTTTCTGGTTTAGGGTTAACATAAACTTCTATATTAGAAATTAAAGAGATAATTTTCTTCATGTGTCCTGCTCAAGTTTACAGAGACATTGAGAGGCAGGAAATTGAGGGCTATTATTTTAAGAATTGACATATACTATAATTTTGTTAAATCAGTTGTGACCCAGTTCTACTCATACCTAAAAAGGAATGTTCTATACCTAGTCTCATTTATGTTGTCAGTATAATAGCTTGGGTGTTTTCTTTGATACCTACGTCTCTGTGGGAGATAGCTTGCAAAATGTGCTCTCTTTGAAAAATACAGAACTAGACACACGATTGTGGAAAAGATCACAATCATAAAAACTGGTATGAGAATGTTGGTATGTTTTACTGAAACCAAAATACGATACCACAAATTACTATCACCAAGGAGACAAGTTCAAGAAATTTACTCCTAGCCAAGAGACAATAAAGTCATAAAAATGCTAAGGAAGAAATTCTCTTCCTTACTCACGATAATTTTAAGAAATGTTGATGCATTTGTTGTATATGAAATATGTTCTAAACTAACATTTTGTAACAAAAAAGCAAACAGAAAGATCATGATTTACTTTCTAATGTGCAAAGATCATGCAGCTCTAAACGTGGACTGCTGAATCAAAGATATTTTATATGTTGAGAATGAAAATTTGAATCCAGAAGCATGATTCACTGATCTAAGCAGTCTGTAGTGAAGACTCATGCACTAATACTACCTGTCCCTAGGTATGATTTTTTAAAATTCATTTTTCATGATGCAGTTCCTCAGGCTCATGGACTTCACCTTCCACTCTCCCCACCCACCCTCTCCCACAATGTTTCCCCTTATATTGAAACAACAGTATATTCCCTCTACTATAGTCACAAGTCCAGTATTCCTCTATTTAAGTGTATCATGATATTGTAGGTATAGAGAATGGTAGAAAGTCCAGCATTTTAATGTCAATATATATTTAACAGTTTCATTGGAAGTCCATGTTTTATGCAGGAATAGAGATGCATACTGCAGTGTATCTCCACTTCATGATATATTTGTCTCTATTATATAATTCCACTAGATGACTATATGTACATGCATTTTTAGCTATATATTGATGATGTTTTTTGAATGAAGTTTGCCTTGTAAGAGAGAAAGCATATTTATCCTTTGGGGATTGGCTGAATATAATGGTATCTAATTGGGGCCATTTTGTTGCAAATGGTGCAATTTCATTCTTTATAATGAGTGAGTAGTATTCCATACAGGAGATATACCACAGTTTCTTTATCCATTCCTCTTTTGATGGGTATCTGAGTTGATTCCTTATCTTCTCTATTGTAGATTGTGCTACTTTAAATGTAAGAGTACAGGTTACTTACTTATATGCAGGTTTCATTTCTTTTGAATATACTACCAGAAATGGGGTACCTGGTCAAAGTATATATCAATTTTAAGTTGTCTTAGCCCTCTCCATACTGACTTCCGTTGTGGCTGTACTAGCTTACATTCCCACCAACATTTAAGTAGGATGCCTTTCTCCCTTCATCTACACCAGCAGGTGTTGGTAAAGTTCTGAAGGTAGGACAATTTCACTGGAGTTAGGAAGAATCTCAATGTGGGTTTTTTTTTTTTTTTTTTTTTTGTATTTCCTTACATCTAGGGATCCTGGGCATTTTTTTCATATGTTTATTTGCTATTTGAATTTGTTCTTTTGAAAAATGTCTATTCATTTCCCTTGCCCATTTCTTCACAAGGTTGTTTGTTTTGCTGTTGTTGAGTCTCTAAAGCTCTTTGTAAATCCTGGGTATGAGTCTCTTATCTGTTGTGTAGTGTGCAAAGATTTTCTTCTTTTCTGTTGGTTGTTTCTTCATTTTGTTGATTGCTTGCTTTGCTCTAAAGAAGCTTCTTAGTGTAATGTAGACCTGTATTTTGAAGGGTGCTTCCTACATTTTGTTTAATAGTTTGATGGTTTCTGGGTGCAGATTTAGGTCCTTGATCCCTTTAGACCTGGATTTTGTATAGAGTGAAAGGTGTGAGTCTCGTAACCTACTTCTGTAGGCTATTATCCAATTGTCCCAACAGCATTTGTTGAAGAGTTTGGTCTTTTTCCATGGCTTATTTTCAGTTCTTTTGTGAAAGATTAGTTGGTTATACAAGTATGGGCTCCCTTCCATGGTCTCTATTCTGTTCCATTGACTGTCGTCTCTGTTTCTGTACAGTGTCAAGCTGTTTTGATTGCCAAGGCCTTGTATTTTGAGGTCAGAAATGGTGATTCCTCCAGCTTGATTTTTATCCTTCAGGATAGCTTTGGCTATTTGTAATTTCTTGTGTTTCCAGATGAAGTTTTGAATGGAGGATTTTCCATGAAGACATAACAAAGCGACCTGTAATCCTATAATTACCACAGCATAATCCATAATAGCAGAGATGGAAATCTCCCTGATGCCTGTCAAAAGAGGGATACGGAAACCATGGTGCATCTATTCTATGAAGTGCTACTCAGTCATCAAAGCCAAAGGGACAAATATCACATGTCCTATCTGAAAAAAGGCAATAGTCATGCAAAATACAAAACAAATATATATAAATATATGTATAAACATATATATACATATAAATATTTACATATTTATATACATATTTATAAACATATATATACATATATTTACCTAGAGGCACTATATAATGGAGACTAGCATATCAAGAAGTGAAGATACATTTCAGTATGCATCTGTTCTCCTAAATAAAGGATGGACTTCCAATGAAACTATTAAATGCATCTTTACAATAAGATGGCTTTACTGTTTTCATTAAAAAGAGTATAATATTATAATAATATAGGGGAAATCAGTTGTGGGAGGTAATGGGAAGGTGGGAGAGGATATCCTTGAGCCTATGAAACTGTATCATGAAGAATAAAAATTGCCAAAAAATTTTAAATACATATTTATTCACTTATTTGAAAGTGCTACAAAGAGAAGGTGAGAGATAGAAACAATATATATTCAATGGCCATGATTGGGCCAAGCCCAACCAAACCAGGAACCAGGAGCATCTTCCAGTTCTTCCAGGTGGGTGACAGGAGACCAAATATTTGGGCCATCCTCCATTGATTTGCTCAGCTTATAGCAGGGAGTTGGTCTGGATGTGTAGGAACTGGAACATGAACTGATACACATATGGGACACAGGTGTCACAGATGGGGGCTTTGCCATATGGTTCTGTAGTTATTATAATGGCAAGGATACAAAATGCTCCTATGGAGGCACAGGACCTCACATTGCCAGAAAGAGGGGTTTTTTTGTTTGTTTGTTTTTATTGTTGTTTTGTTTTTTGCCTGATCTACTAGTGATGAATGCCAAATTATGCACCCTGATAGTTGCCTATGTTTCAGTCTATGCCTCTATGCTCACAGAGCACAGTCTAAACAGCATGAGGTTGGAATGAGCTTAAATGTTACCCGGAGACTTGGTGCAGATGACCTGACTTGACTCCACATCAGGATTAGCTGAATCAGAAACTCTATTAATGGTAAGAGGGGAGGAGACTGATACAGCATAGCTATAAACAGGGACCACATTAACTCTGTTCTCCATACACTCACTAACTCTCCCTGAATGCAGACACAATGAGGAATCCCAGTAAACACCATCACCAGCTTGGATGCAATCTATTCCATATGTCTCACTTTCTTCCTGTGGATCTTTACCTTCCATTTAAGAGAGCTATTGTAATTTTACTTATCTGGCAAAGTTGTGACTATCCCAGACTTACACACACTGTTCCAGCTAGAATCTATATGGTTGATTTCTGTGTGTATAAATACACATTATATTATATTCTCCATTGTATATTGTTCTAATACATATCTTAGACTATTTATTATTTAGTTATAAAATCCATGCACATATAAATACATTTATAACCTGTGTGTTAATATATGTTAAGATATAACTCTTGCAGTTTATTTATTACTTCTGTAGTAACATCATTCATTTTACTGAAAAACAGCCCTTTAAAGCATGTAGTATGGGTGAGAGGGCATTTCTGCTATAATTCTATTTTTGAAAATTAGGAATAAGCATAAAAACTATCTGCTTTATATTTTGAGTAATTTATACTAGCCACTGGTAAAAATATATAAGAAATGTATTTTATGAAGAAATAATCATATTAAAATTAAATATGTTAAAATTGTATTTATTGGGGAAGGAACGATGCAGAAGAGAGACAGTCAGACAGACCCTATTTGCTGCTTCATTTCTCAATTGTCTGCAACAGCAGGAGTGGGACTAGGTTAAAGCTAGAAGCTGATAAATAGATCCCAGTCTGCTCCACTTGGGTGACTGTTGGAGCTTTTCAAAGTCTGCATTTGGAGGAAGCTGGACTTGAGAACAGAGTCAAAACTTGAATCAAGGTTCTCTGATATAGGGTAGGAGCCCCTTGATTGTTAGGTGAAATACATAACTGAGAAAAACAGTAATTAACACCTTATTCACCTGTGTTGAAAACTATACTAATCCAGTCTTTTAATGTCTTCTAATTTTTGCATCTTGTAAGCAGCTTTTACTATTTTCATTAAGCACTATATTTCTTTGACTGGCAAGAATTGAAAAAAATTCAACAAATTTTAATAAAAAAATTATCTGTGATGCTGAGATATAAAGCCAATTATAAAGAGATACAAAGGCAGACATAAATATACTGGCTTTTAGAATGAGTAATCACAATTTATTTGAGTGAACTATATGCAAACTACCGTATTATTTCCCTCACTGCACTGCATAGCATAGTTTTTGAAATCAGATTACCTGGGCTTGTCTGTTTCACAGACAATACTAATGGTGTGGACTTGGACAAGTTATATTATCTGTCTCTATTTCAGTGTCCATATTTACAAAACAGGGACAACAGGTGGCATAGTACACTAATCCTCAGCCTGTATCACCGATATCTTATATGGGTACCAGTATGAGTCCTGGCTGCTGGACTTCTGATCCAGCTCCCTGCTAATGGCCTGGGAAGGCAATGGAGAATGGTTCAATCCCTTTGACTTTTGCACCCATGTGGGAGACCCGAAGGAAGCGTGGGAGACCCGAAGGAAGCTCCTAGCTTCCAGCTTCAAATTACTCCAACTCTGGCCATTGTGACCATTTATAGAATGCACCAGTAGATGAAGATCTCTCTCTCTCTCTCTCTCTGTAACTCAGGTAAAATAAATAAACCTTAACCAAACAAACACATCATTAAAAGGGAACAACAGCAGTACTCATTCTTATGGTTGCTATAAATTTTAATGAGATAAAAATCTCAAAACACCTACAATTGTTTCTGGCATGTAGCTAGTGTTATCTACTAAACTGTGTGTTCTGAAAATATAGGTTGAAGTCCTAAGCCCTAGAATCTGTGAGTACGACATTTTTGAAATATATAGGGTATTTTTTTGGATTATGCTAAGATCATGCTTGATGAGCCTCTGTAATCCAATATGACTGGTATTTATAAAAAGAGGAAAAGATGGCCATCAACTTAAAACACAGAAGAAATATGGCCATGTGAAGAGAGAGGCAAAGACTAGAGCTATACTATCCTAACCTCAGGTATACCTGGGGCTAACAAAGTTAGCAGAGGCAGAGAAAGAGCCTTTGTGGAGGCTCCAAAAGAAGCCTGAGTTTGCCAACACCTTGATTTTGGGCTTTTAGTCTCCAAAGCTGTGACGACTATGGATTCTGTCTCAAGTCACCCAGTGTGTGGTCCTTTGTTCTGGCAATTGCAGAGCACTAAATAAGTCAGGATTCATTTAATTAATTATTTTTAGACATTGGTGAAGGCCAATTACAATAGTGTGGCTTTGTTCTTTTATACTTTAAAGAATAAAAGACGCTTGTTCAGAACTCAATCTCACATACCAATCCAATATGTAAGAATTGAGCTTAAGCTCATTAGACAAACTCAACTCAGCACTGTATGAAGAATTTGGAGGGTACGGAAGTGATTGGCTCACAAAGTAGTTAGAAAACTGGTTTTTTGACATTTCAGAAAGGAGGAAACGAACACTATATTTTCAAGGTTACTCAAATTCTGCTATGCTATACTTTTTCTTGAAGCTTGTCCTTCTACCACTTGCTGATATTTCTACCCCAAAATATGGAATATGACTGACTAGTAGAATATTTTTGAGTAACAGATAAGTATGTTATTCACATGAGAAAATAAGGTCTCCTGGGGCCAGTGCAGTGTTTCAAAGGCTCATCCTCTACCTCCAAGCACTGCCATCCATATGAGCACCAGCTGCTCCTTTTACAATCTAGCTCCCCACACCAGCCTGAGAAAGTAGCTGAGAATGGCCCGAAGTCCTTGGGATCCTGCAGCACATGATGCACCTGTCAGAAGCTCCTAGCTCCTGGCTCCTGACTTTGAATAGCCTCACCTCCGGCCATTGTGGCCATTTCTCTTCCTGTCTCTCCTTCTTTGTAAGTCTGCCTTTCAAATAAAATTAAATAAATCTAAAAAAAGGGTTCCTTATATAACAAAAATGTCTATATAATTATTTAATTAAAAGACTTATAAATCTATGATTTTTAAAAATGCTGGTTAATTATATTTGTTTTATTTGACATGGAGAAAGAGAGATGGATCCCCTAGTTCCCTTCCCAAATTCCCACCACAGCTAGTGCTGAGATAGGCTCAAGCCAAGAGCCAGGAACACAGGAGGCAGGGCCCCATCTCCTTTAGCCGTCATCTGCTGCCTACCATTAACAGGCTGGACTAAGCAGAGCTTGGACTTGAGCTCAGGCACTCCTATGTGGTAATCAGATAGAGAGAGGTAGCATGAGGTATTCCATTTGTTGGTTTATCTTCTTAAATGCCTGCAATAGATGCTTAATGCTTAAGCCTGGAACTAGGAATGTAATCCAGGTTTCCCATGATTCAAAGCATAGGTTGTAGAATTCTATACAAGGGTACTTCAAAAAAGTTATAAAAATGGAATTAGAAGATATGTTTTTAATTCACATTTTTAAAAAGATCCATGAATTATTTCTTCATAATAAGCATTTTTTATGAGGCTTTTTTGAAATATCCTTATCTATCAAAGAATCTGGTCCCACTGTTAATTTTACTGTATGATTAATCCATGTTACTTAAATTCTTCAAGCTTTGGTTTCTTCATGTGTGACACGAAATATAATAAATTTCTTCCATAGAATTGTTGTGAACATTAGGATAAATAATAGTCTCATTAAATATTGGAACATAACAGAGGTTTTTTATTATAATTTTACATGTATCTATACCATTAAATACCTTGATTGTGTATTTTATGACTATATCTTTCCTAAATAGGAAAATTGAATAAGTCTCATGTACTGACTGACACTTTAATTTTGCACATTTCTGAAAGTCATCATACTGCATTTCTATGAATATTTCCTATAATTTTTAGCTTCTATAATTTTGATCCAGGAAAACTGCAGTAGCATAAATAGCCTTATGCTGTTCCTCAATTCTGCATTGAGTAGCTGAAGTTTCTAGTGATTAAACTGTGACTCAGAGAGGAAATATCTTCAGTGGTGATTCCAGACCAAAATAAAATGGAAAATTATAATTGGGTGACAATTATCCTATTATACATCAATATGCTTCTACCACACAGATATTTTACAACAATCCCTCTGCCATTCTAATGAATTGTCCATTATTGCTGGAACCCAAGAACTTCATTAAAACCATTAATTATACTTAAAAACAAATGGAAAAAAGGTCTTGTAGCTTCTGATAAATACCTGCACATTTTACACAGAAGTCCCACTTTTTACCTTTCTCTTCTGTGGTGCTACTCTAAGCTATGGCGTTCACAACTGCTAGTGCTGAAATGAATAGCTGTTAAGGCTGTGTATTGTACAACTTCTGGAGGTTCCGTGGTGGTACCCCTGCATCTTGACTTCTACACCGTAATGAACCGCTTGCATTAAACTAGAATTCCAGGCCAGTGTTGTGTTGCAGCAGGTAAAGCTGCTGCCTGCGACACCAGCATTTCACAAGGTTTCTGATTTGAGTCTTGGCTGTCTCTCCTTCTCTCCCTGTAACTCTGCCATTCAAATAAATCAACAGATAAATACTTTTATGAATTAAAAACATAATAACTGTAATTCTATGATCTCAGCTCTGAATTGAATGAGATTAGGTTTCAAGCATAGCCTAAAAGTTAACCTTTTCTAGATAAATTTACATCTCTATGAATTAACAAGTGAGGTTCACAGGTGATTGTCATATGAGACTTTAAATGTGTAGCAGGCAGCGTGGATTTTGATCATATGTTTTGAGAATAGAAATAGGATTCTGAGCTATACTTCATTTTATATGATCTGCTTCCAGGTGGCCTCAGGAGACCACAGAAACAAACACTAGAAAGGACAGAATTTTGGAAAAAGTAATAAAATAAAAATAAGTTAGAACAGATATCTTAGCAGTGAGTAGAGGTGTCTTGTAGTTTTTCCCAGCATGTTTCAAGGTGGATGTCGTGGGCAACCCTGGCCTAAAATAAGAGCAGTGCCTTGGAGTTTGATGTTTAGTCACAAGGGCAGCACACAGTTCTAAGCCTTTTGGTTCCTTTGTCTGTCTGCCAGTGACATTTAAAACATCTGTCTGTCTAACAAACTCAACCTGGAATAGTGGATGTGCATTTATTTTTTTTTTTTTTGTAGTAGACTCCCAGGGCTTTGCTATTGTTGTTAGGATGCAGCTCAGCTTAAAGTCTTTATTTCTAACTCCAGATGGGATTCTGACTCTGAGAGAGAAATAGGAACGGAAGCCAGAATTGAGATTCATGCATTCCTGCATCTGAACATTTTCTTTTTGTTTTAAGCAATTCAATTTATACCCAGGTGCATCAAATTACATTTACGTATGCAGCACAACTTTGTAAAGTCTTTCTCAAAGACAAGTGAATGTATGTTGAATAAACATCACAAAAAGATCCCATTAAAATGTAAACATGAAAGAATGCTCCATTGGGCTGTGGTCTTACCATTTGCCTTGTGCTGTACATCTGGCGGAAACTGCTCAAAAGCATGCCACTGATAGTCTGGCTGTGTGGAACAATAAAATATTATTATAGCAATATGGGCTTCAAACAAAATAGAGTGGGACATTAGATTGTAATTATACTGTGTGGCTTTTATAGAATGGGAAACACAGAGATAATTTCCACCAATTCTGTTACCGGTCTCACTCTACCCAATCAATTCCCTCATCACAAACACCATTGCTTCCTAACTGCTCCGGCATCCACACTAGGTTTGGGTTTGATCATATTACTTTGAACTGTGTTATCCTTTCTTTTCTTTTTTTTCTTTTTCTCTTTGGTTTCCTGTCCTTCCATTCCCCTCTCCTCTCCTTCCTCTCCTTTCCTTTCTCTTTCCTTCCTTGCTTCCTTCCTTCCTTCTTTCTTTCACAGATCTGTTTTGGGTATCTTTACAAGCATAAACTCATTTATAAAACTTACTTTAGCCTACAAAACAACCAAGAATCAGTAAGTACTCCTCTAAAACCATCACACTAGAAACTATGAGAGGGTTGGGGAAGGAGGACATTTGTTTGATTAAGCATTCAATGACATATTTAATGGTAAAATGTTGGTTTAATGCTTTCTTGAGATTTAAGAAGCAAATTTCAGCTCTTAAATGGGGGCATGGCTGCTGGAGATTCAGAATGGTGAAACAGATTCAAAATCTTTTCCTTTTTACTACTCAGAGAACTCTAATCTCTAAAGTGATCAAAGATTAAGGTAAATTAGAGGCTAGATTTTTCTCTTGAGAGTTTTCCTAGCTTTCCTAGGCTTCCCAATTAACAATAGCTATATACTATCAGGGAACATTCAAGCAAATTGTGTGAAGCAATAATAAGCCAAAGGCCTAAATTATAGCTCCCATACTGCCCCTCTGCACTTAGCCCCTCAGAATCAAACCGAATCTGCTTTATCTGCCCCAGAGAAGGTCTGCTCTGGTGCTGTGGGTGCTCACCTCTGCCTCCGACTTCACCCTAAGACCTCTCTTATTATCCGCAAGAATGGAGAATACAAAGCATTGGTTTTATTATCCTATTATTACCTAAAAATAACTAGATGGAAAGTTCCCCAATAAGCAGCCAATTGGGAGCATTCGGAAGGCTGCCTGGCCACCAAAAATAGCCCCCAAATTTCAATCACCTGACAAGACAATGAAAAGTCTGAATTCAGTAAAATCTGACCCTACTTCTCATGCACTCTAGACATGTAGGCTCTTGACTCCTTTCGGCCCAAGAAAAATCTGGAGGATAAAATGAAATCACCTATTTTCTGTCTTCTGACTTATTTTTAGATGTCTCAAATAACACATAGGATAAGTGACATGTGCCTCACTTTTATGTTGCGAGAGAGCTGCCAAAAATAGTATGCATACTGTATTTCCACCAACACAATTGCATATTATTTAATTTAGACTTTGATAAGCAAAAAGCACAAAATTCTCTTAAAGTCAATTTTGGGAATTTAAAAATGAATTAAATGTTATACTGAAATTTCTGCTTAAATGGCTGCTGCTGAAATGTAGCCTACTAAATATCTGGGCCATCTTCCCTCTTCTGATTCACATAGAGTTTGATGAGTGATGGAAGGCAGATTGCTGCCTTCTTCCCATACATGAATATTGACAAAATGTCCATTTTTACACTGAGATGCATCTGAATGATTCATTGGTTTTATAGTTACCCTTTCACAAAAATATTTCCCTAAAGTATATTTCTATCTATTTTGCTTTCTCTACAATCTTAATTTACTTTGACACCTTTGGAAAAAAATATTCAGGGATGATCACGTTTGACAATTCCCAGAAACATTTCTGATAAAGACAATAAAGTAAGCAAATGTGTGGAGAAAAAAAAGAAAACGGGGGATGAAGTAAGGGTAGAACTATCACATGACAACTACAGGAGAAACACTAAGACCTCAGCTGGGTGCTATGTCATGCCAGGGTCAAGTAGGAGGTGTTCATTAGTCTGCCACCCAAGGTCTCATTAAGTAGTAAAAGGACTTTGAGTCACACTCATTTTCCATAGTATGAGATGCTTTCAGGCAGCCCGGGGAATAATGACTTTGGTAAGGGTTGTGTTAGGAAAATTCTGCCACAATTAGAAACTCAGTTAATAAAATAAATAAATAAGTAAAACTATACTAAAAGATGGAGAAAGTTGCCTGACCAAATATAAAATGCAGCAAAATGCATATTTTTCAATAAAATTTCTATCTACATAGGCAGCATACATAGAGAAACAGTAAAGGACAAAGGGCAGGTGGAATACTGCTTCTGAGAAGGAAAGGAAGGTTGCTTTGGGTCTGGCTTATTTAGGTTGACTGTCCAAATCAATTCCACTCACAAATAATTGTTCAATTGTTCATTTCATTTTGACTGGGTGGACATTGCCATACAGAATAAGTTCAATGGGTCACTTTTTTCTTGATTTTTCTAAGGAATTCTTTCTATTTTTATTGGAAAATGTCAAAAATACATTTTGCACTTTTGTAGTGATAACCATGGTAGTTCAGTACAGGTTTAAAACTGAACAAAGTTTATATTTCTCTTTCTTTTTTCCTTGTTCTTTTTACCTCCTATATCTACTTTCCTTCTGTTTACAGATTAAAAAGTTCTTTGGATAGAGTCAAGTACACCAGGTGTAAATGACCCCATAAAATGGTATATGTTCATTCAAGAAGCAATAGCTCAGTTTGGTCACATTCAGTTAAATTGTTCATGTGCCTCTGGATTTGATGTCTGAAAGGTAACTAGAACGCGCACTGATCACTTGAACTTTGCAGATGGGAAATTGAGATAAATAGTTTATTTCTATAGACAACATAAAGTGTCTAAATCCCAGAAATATAAATGATTTCTACCAAAAGAATACTAAGTCCTTATTTTTGAAATAAGGTTTTTTACTTACTGCATGCTCCAGCTGATCCTGTACTGCTGCAGGAGTGCTTGATAACCATGGGTCCCGTGGATGGAAAACCAGGCCACAGTTACAGGTAGGGAAATGCATCTGAGGAGAACAATGCCAATCGTTTACTGGCAGTCAGCAAAATCGGGAAATCACATTGAAACATGATATGGTTTCAATCTAAAGGCTTAACCTATTCTGGATATATTTAACTCAATATATCAATACAGACTCATGATTGACATAGCTGAGGGTGACTCATGGTCTAAATCTTATCACAGGTGAAATTGTAATTTTTTTCTTCAGTTGTATGAAACTAGAAATACTTTAAAAGTATAGATAGAGAGATATATGTATATAGAGGGTCCTCATGGAAAGAAAATAATTTTGAAAAGATAAATTACAGCCAGAGAAGTAACTGAAGTCCAATGAGGAAATTCAGAATGAAGAGAAATAATACTCATTTTTTTTTAAGTTCACCAGAGAGCCAATGGGGTAGAATGCATCTGTCCTGAAGAAACTATTCTGCTTTGTAGAAAAAAGGAACGAGAATATTTGGTGTCATTTTCCACTGTAAATTGGGTGAGCAATTGCTAGAACTACCAAAGAAATGCAGTTCCCAGGTGTGTGTGGGCTTATGGAAACATCTCCAATTGGGTGACCTCACACCAGGGCTTGAGCTGCTCGTAACATACATACTCTGTGAGGCATGTGGTTTTCATGAGTGTGAGGGTGGAAAGGCTGTGGTGGTTCCTAAGAACGATCTATCTATTGATGCTTCAGTCACTGCCATGCATAGCAGAATTTGAATGTGTCTTTAATTGGGACAATGAGAGATGATATGAGTGGAAATACGTACGTGGGTGAAACTGAAAGTTGTCATTTGAGTCATGACAAGAAGACTAGGTAAGAATCAATATACCTGTTTTAATTGCTTTTCCAGTTTTTCTTTCTCCATCTGACAAGCTTTGATCTGCGGACAAAACAAAGGCTTTTGCTCATCAAAGAGAATTGAGACCATCAGCTGCAAAGCTATTTTTGACCTAGCTATCCATGATCTTCCCATAATCCCATAGAATGAAACAACACACATTACCAATGAAACTGGTCGTGTTTTGGCTATTCCAACCTTGCATGGATATTTTCTCAAAATCACCAAATGAAATTTGTAATGTCAGATTGCTCTAAGTTATTATTTGAGCTCATTAACAGCATTTTAATTCTTTTTTTTATATTGACCTATTTAGACATAGACATAGAAACAGGTTCCACTGATTAGTACAGGAAATTGGAATTGGTCAACCTGACACTTAAAGTTGTACACAGTAAGTTCTTGGAAATGATATTATACATATGGGAAGGCATTTTTACAGCTGTTAAGGTTTCACTGGGGATGCTCACACTCTATGTGAGTGCCTAGATTTGCGTCCTGGCTCTGTTTCCCATTCAGCTTCCTGTGCATGCACACTTCCAGGAGGACACAGGTGACAACTCAAGTACTTGTGTCCCTGGTATTCATAAGAAAAACTTGAATGGACTTTATGGCTCCTGACTTCAGCCTGACCCAGTCTTAGCTCTTTTGGAATATAAACTGGCAGATAGAAAATCTCTTTCTGTCTCTATCTTTTTCATTCTACATTTTGATTTTTTAAAAAAGAAATCACATATATGATCAATATATGCAATACATTTGTCTATGTGTTTTCCATGCAATAGCTCCTTGACTCCAACTGCTCATATAATTAACATGTTTATCTCCATTGGATCAATGAGGATATAGAAACACAAGATTCCGAATAAGATGGGCAATGTTACACTGCTATCTTTTACCTCCACATCTGATGTATTCAACTCTGTTTTGGTATTTTGGTCATGCCATCATCTTCCATGAATTCCATGTCCCATACCCTTATGAGGTATGATCCCAAAGTGCCATCTTAAATGAAACCTTTTGAAGTCCCGCCCATCACAAATGTTCACTTTTACCTTGGTCCTCAACTTCAGGGCTGCAATATATTATGTGACTTTTTAGTTCAACATAAACCATTTCCTGTCACTTCTCCTTATTTGCAGTACTCATGTCCTGTAAAGCCACCTGAAATGCTACTGAATTCAAAAGTACGTAACCCCTGATCTCACATGAAATTTTGGTCACAAAATTACTGACTGATCAATGCATAACCTTGCTTTACAAGTTTTTGCTTAAAGATGCCTTCACCTTACTTAACAAGGACAATCGATTCGCTAGCTCTTATACACTCATGAAGCTTATCTAACATAGATATTTTCTTTGTAAAGGTACAGCACAGCCTCTTTCACTTGGGAGCAACAGGAGCACATTAGCACCATGTTTGAGAGCCATTTTGAAGAGTGAAGTCACCAACAAAAAGCACCCAAATGTGAGAAACATGCTCACTAACCTGTTAGAAGCACACTTGTTTGCACTACGAGATGAAATCACTAGCCTGTTAGAAGCACACTTGTTTGCACTATGAGATGAAATCAGAGACAGATTATCACCTCATCCTATCTTGTCTAGGAACATGCATGTCAGGAAACTGATTTCCTGATGCTCAGTATATTATGGGAAGCACCAAAAGTACTTCATGTATTGGTCTGGGGGGACAAATACTCTTCAATGAGTAGGGAAATTCATAAATATAGAATTTGCAGATCATGAAGATGGCCTGATATATCTTTTTCACTATATTGTAAATTTTTTATGCCCTCCCAGTGCACAGCAGAATGCCTTGTAGAAAAAAAAAGTCAAAGTTAAATTTACAAAGTACCTGGCACCATGGCCAGAGCTGAGCTTAATAAATTTTTTTCCTCCACTTAACTCAAGAGAACCACTGTGAAATCATAAGGTAGATATCATCGTGCATGAAAACAGGTGAGCATAAGGAGAAAGATCAGATCATACTTTTACAGAAAAAGGTTTTAGGGTTTTAAGAAACATGTTGTAGATAATCTGGTTTCAATTGGTCATTTTGTAGATGAAGAAGGGAACTGCAAAACCTTCAGTAGCTTTCTCAAGCTTACAACCAACTGGGTATCAGAGCAGGTAGGAACATCTGATCTTTCCCCCTTGGTTCCTCTTATATTGTCAACTTTCTTAAGTTTATTTCAATTAACCACTTCAATTTACCATTATTATTGGTTTAAAATATCCTCAGTGCTAGAATGAAGACATTCTGGCATGTAACTAGTGCCAAAATTATTTGGATAAAAACTTCATTTTGAAATTTGTTTTGATTATAAGCAGTTATTCTATTTAACTAAGATAGTGTGTTTTGAATTATAGCATGACAACTAATTGGCTACTAACACATAAGTAACATGTAATAACTAGTATCAATGTAATAAATAAGGCATCAACCCATCTGCATCTATTTTTGAACTCTATCTACCTTTATCAGAGTGAATGAGATTCAATGTAAAAAAGTGATTTGGGCTATCATTATTTAAAAGAAAAAAGTACCACTTGGATATCATTAAGATTACTTTTACTTTATTAATAAAAAATACACTATACTATCTTTGATATAGGTGTATCTTCATATCAATAAAAAGTTACAGATGATTCCTGAATGAAAAATAATTGTAGATTCTATTCCAACAGTTTAAGTGAAATGGATATATTTTAAGTTCTGTAATGTCAAGAACATCGCCAGCATTGCAATCAATTTATTACCAAGCTGAACTGAACATAGTAGAATGAATAAAGTTGAAATATGACAGAAGAGGCAGGCACTTAGCGCAGTAGTTAATATGTCACTGGGGATGTTGGCACCCTGTATTAGAACGCCTGGTCCTAGTCTTGGGTCATCCACTTCATCCCAATCCCACTTCCTGCTAAGGTGCTCCCTGGGAAACGCAAGGTGGTATCTCTAATAGTGGAGTCTCTACCAGCCATGTAGGAGACTTTGATTGGCTTCAAGGTTCCTGGCTTCAAAATGACCTATCCTGAATTGTGGTGGGCAAACCAGTGGATGGAAGATATCTCTACCTCTCTATTTGTCTGCTTCTCTATGTGTCTCTATCTTTAAACTATAAACTAAAATTTTGAAAGTTTTAAAATAAGCCAGGAATCAAAATACTTTGTTTACTGGCAGCTTCAAAGACATGAAGACAGCAGCGTCCCTCCCCACAAAAAAGAAAGAAATGAGAACAGTTTTATATGTAAGAAGTAAAAATTGAGAGAATAATTTCTTCACCAAGAATAATCTGAAATGTTCCCATTCATGATTATATAAATTATGTATTAAATCCATAAATTATTTTCAGGAAGTTACTAAATTTTATCACTGTTTTATCCATTCTAATATGTTGGAGAGGAAAAGCTCTGTCTAATAATTTTCCACATATAATTTGGAGTTTCAAATTAATCATTAGAAAAATCAGAAAGGAAATGAAATTTAATTCACAGTTTATGTTAACAAGAGGATGGCTAAGAGCTTAAATTTTTTTCTAAGACTAAACATGTTCCACAACAATATCTGATTTATTGGAAATAATTGTATGATTTTTCAAACAAAATATGCTGTGGCTCACTTTATTTTCTCAGTCAAAATTATGTTAACTACAGTTTTTCCATTAACAACAGTATTTACCCATTACGATGATTTCCTGAGTCTGCTTCTAATATATTCTATTATACTTAATTTTAGTGTACTTACATTTAATGTGTCCTAATAAAGTGATAACCATTTTTGAGCTTCATTACTATTTCTCTAATTATTCGAAAGTTGGCAACCCACCGGATAAAGTTCTTTATTTCATTAGATGCATAACCAATATTGAGAAATATCTATGTTTTTGAAAGACAAGCACATTCCAACATAAGCCTTTAAAGAAAATGACAAGAATTTAGAAGCCACTTCACTGTGCTTGAAGACCAGGTACCTCAACTTCCATTCCAGAAAGATACATGTTATAAGAAATGATCAAAAGAACTTCGTATATGTATATGATATACATAGGATGTATATGATATATATAGGATATGTATGTGTGTATATATATATTTAACACTGGAATCCAATTTTGTGCATAATTTCACAAGATACTTTAGTCCAAAGTAATTTCCAGTCATTCTCTTCTCTTTCAAAGACTGAATGATGGCATCTCAAATGCTGATGCCTCCAGAAAATCCAATGTCAATTAGTAGAAGCAAAAAAAAAAAGTCTTGAGTCTATTTTAAAAAAAAAATGAATAATATACCTATTCTGGCAAAAACTGTTTTGTCAGTGATCATACCTGAGAATCCAGCCTGTTCAATTGGGATTGACAAGTCTGATTAATTTGCTGCAGCTCTTCTTTCTCTTGATTAAGTCTTTCTCGGTCTGATCGCTCCTTTCTGAAGTCTTCTTCATATATTCGCACCTGTAAAACATGGACTTGCTAGTGTTGGCTGGCTTTTGTCTGAGGCCAGTGAAATGGAAAGATGCTATTTGGGTCTCAGTGCTGCCACTCCTTACCCCTCCTTACGAATCTGTCTTTATGCTGAGATACAGAAACACACATGGCTGCTTATTCAGAATGAAAATTCTCATTTTTTATTTTTTACTTTTGAGTGTGCATCACAAATTTTTAAACAAAACAAAAAATGTATTATGAACAACATCCTTTTGCTGGTTATTCTGCTATATACTTCATGACAGTGAAGAAATTCTTAGCCTCACGTTAAGTGGCACTGCTTTTGGAGCAAGTCATCCATCTCCAGTATAGAGCTTTGATGGAGGAATACTGCTTGAAATTGCAAGAGACAATCTACTGTCATAGCTGCATCACTGAATGCTAACATGACAGAGTTTCCAACTATAATTTCCAGGTTGAACACAAAGCACATAGAAAGGCTAATGCATTTGGAAAAGCAGAGCATAGTTGCTGAAAGGTATTCACAAGTTTTGCCCTCTAGGTGTACTTGATGTAAAATCAAAAGAAACATATACTATGTTACTCAAACACTTCTCCAAGGTTATTCCAAATACTCCAGAAATGTGACCAAACTTTGAATTGTCTTTTATTGGCATATTGATGGCTGATGGCTTGGAAACCAGCATGTAAAGCAATAAAAACAAATGAAACTTAGGGAATTTAGCAAAAGAATTCCTCTAAGCCCAGGATTTAAATGACTACTTCTATTGGAACATAGAGTCTAGATTTTTAGCTGGTAATTCTAATGCACACTGAACTTCTATTATGAGTCATGGAACAAATTTTAACTACAGGTTTATGAATTTCAAGTTAGCAAAGTATGAAATAGGCAAAAGAGAAAAAATGTTTAGCCACAGTGCACCCATATCACATACACACACCTGCATAAGTGTTCCATTTTTAAGGTTTTGTTCACCAGAAGCATTTTGAGAATCCTACGTCAGCTTGCTGGCATTTTGAAATTTTTACTTGAAAGCTGAGGTTTAGTTCAAGATGCAATGAAACCAGTGCTCAGAGGCAGTGTTCATGAGAGAAGCCCATCTGATCAGAACAAAACACTTTAGCAACTTTGTGACTTCAGTCAGGTAGGGACCAAGATTCTACTTCCATTGCTTTCAAAATTTAAAAACGGAGATATTTCTTGTGATACTTGGTAATATCACGATGGTGGATGCTAAATTTGAAATGTGTGCTTTTAAATTGTGCATCAGGAAAGTCAGTAATAAAGCACCTCAAAATTAAGGAGATGGCTTTTGGTATCTCTTGGGGATGATGCAAAAGAAAGCGAGTAGCTGCCCTTGTGTCATTTAGAAGCTAAACCATACTGTATACTGCCAGTGTAAGAGTGACTGCCTCCAAAGCAGCGCACGTTATTTGCAAGCACCAACAATGATTCAGGTCTCTGAACATAAACTTTTAAATTTTCTCTGAAGGAATGGTAGTCAGCACCATACTAAAGGGCCAAGAGTGCTTTGAAATCTGAATGCTCCACTTATTTTTCTTCAAAGGTTTGTGTTTAAAATGCACATGAGAGGGCTTCAAAATTTTCTTTGAAAGTGTTCATTTATTTTTGAATTCCACTTGTCCATGAACTTTGGGATGCCTTCTCTTAAATGACTCAAAATATGAATCATATGGCTCAAATGTAATCAATAGAGGAGCAAGTAAAATTTTACCAATAAGTGCTCTGAACTTTCTGGATCTGTTTTCACACAGATTATTTTCCATGATGTAAGCAATGAAGTGGTGACAACAGTAACACAGTTGCTCAAAGTTTCCATGTATTACATCTGAATCCTTTCAAATATTGGTTTCAAGAACTATTTATTTATTGAAAGGCAGAGTGAGAGAGACAGAAATGAGATCTTCTATCAACTAGTTAATCCCCAAGTTAGAGCCAGGTACAGTGAACTCTGTCTGAGTTTCCCACCTTGGTGGCAGGGGTCAAACACTTGAGCCATTATCTGCTACTTCTCAAGTGCATTCACAGGGATCTGGACAGGAAGTGCTGCTCCACTGCTAAGCAAGTTCCCTGGTAATGCCCTGGAAAAGCAGAGAAGGATGATTCCAAGTATTTGGGCTCCTGCTACTCATGGTAGAAGACCTGGAAGAAGCTCCTGGCCATTACAGACACCTAGGGAGGAATGAATAGATGAAAGACTTTTCTGTCTCTCTCCTCTCTCTCTCTCTAACTCTTTCAAACAAATATATATATATATATATATATTTGAAGTAAGTAATTAAGGATTGCTGTCCAAATGTGGGAGTAGCGAAGCACACCAAGCTCTTCAGTGATTATAAATCAGTCCAGGATATTCTCGTTAAACCTGACCTTATTGTTAAGACATCTGGAGGTCAGCAGCTACAGAACCACAGTGTAGTACTATCATTCTCTGAAAAGCTGCAGAATCTGGGTTTTCAATGTTTTCAAAAATAAAATATATCCACATAAAACTCTCCAGATGCACAATTACTGGATTCTAATCCAAAGGTTAATTAACATGCTCTTCATTTAGCTGTGTGATTTTTGGCAAACTGTTTGACCCATCTGAAACCTAATTCTCTTTTCTATAAAATGTAGAAGTAAATTCCATGGCTTACATTCTATCAATTTTAAGGATAGGCGATTTAAATGAAGTAGTGCAAACACCTTTGATAACATTTTGACTACAAGACTTCCAAAATATTCAAAGAAGCATGAAAATTGAGTCCCATTTTCTCCACATGATTATTCTACTTCCAACTTCTCACCTGCTGCTTTAGGACTTCCATTTCTGTTCTCATTTCCTCATGGCTGCAGTCACCTTTGGACTTCCTCAGAGAGTCCTCAGAAAATGAAGAGTACTCAATTTTCAAGGCATCCTGAAGCGCCTATGTTTTAAGACAAGCATACTATTAGTCTCAGGTTTACACCTAATCAATTAATTTGTTATTATGGCAATGGTCTCAAATGCATCAAATATGTAGATATTCCTTTTCAATGTTCCTTATATGGCTACATAAATTTCTTCTTTCTAATTTTCTGCACAAACATATTTTTTCCCAGAATGCTTGTCTTTGCTCAATATGCTGTTATTCAACCCTGATTATTATTATTGGGGTCTTTGATGTTGGACTCACTCTACACCAAGCTAATGATTAAAGAAAAATATATTCATATGATTTCTCTATACTTTTCAGGCAAATGTCTACATCACCACATCACCACTGATGCACAAACTTTAGAGCCCACCAACGTAGCAAATATACCCAGGCTTGGGAACTGCTGCCAGAGATTGTGAATCAGGGAACTGCAGAAATCCAGACGCTGGTGCTGTTGGTCTCAGGTGATCTTCTGAGTAGTATTTTTGCTAGCTTGCTATGGATGCTCCCACCAGCAGCAGAGGAAATCTGCAGGACTATGCAGCATGAAGATTCATTCTCTGTTGGGTTTGTTATCCTGCTCATATCCTCTGCCATCCTTCAACAAGATGCAACCTGGCCCAGTCGCAGTCTTATATCAGCTCTGTTTAACTCACTACAGCTTGGACTGCATGCCTAGCTTTCTTGCGGCACTGTAAAACTTTGTGGTTTTAGCATAGCACAAAGTGGGGAAATGGAAGTATGGAAGATATTTATATTCAGCACAAAATCTGCATCCTTCCTATCTTAAGGTGGTCTTAACAAATATGCTTAAATGATATAAAAGACACGGCATATCTTTAATACATTTAATTCACTGATAAATTTCCTAAACATTCTGACAAAACACATCCTGGCATAGTCCCACAGCTTACAAACATGAGTGCTTTTTTTCTTATCAAGTAAGTCCTCTGTACACATAGGAAGGGTCCTTTCGAGAGGTCTAAGAATTCAGTTCCTCTGCAAATGTTTCTTTACTCACTTCAATGGTGTTCACTTGATAATAATAGCAATAACTCACTCCTCTGCATTACTATGCAATGCAGTCATAATGTTATGAAAGGAAAAGCAGAATTGTGTTCTTGAGGGAATGTGGACAGTCTGGGAATTTCCTCATAGAATGTTTTAGAAGTATTAATATTGCCTACACTGACATGAATATCATTCTCAAGAAGTTATAACGGTGATAAGAACTTAGTTTTTTTTTTTCAGGAAAAACTTCAAAAGGCAGCAAAATTGTTTGAAATTTAGCATTTTGTCAATATTTGTCTTAAATTTTACATTTTGTCTATATTTATTAAGCTCTAAAAAGTGTCATAATAGTTAATTAAATGTGTGAATGATAGTAGGGAAATCAAGGATGTAAAATATCAAGTAAATAACAGTAATGAAATAATCTGGCTCCATAGGCCACAACTATGTCTGGACTGTCTTTATGGATCCGGTTGTTTAAATTTCCCAGCCTTTATTTAATGCGACTCAGGATTCTAGAAATTTTACAGATGAGTCATAACTGATAAGTTTGTCAAACAGACTTTATTTCATGTTGGGGATTTTCCAGCTTCCTTGAGGAAGCATTTTTCACCCATTCTGGAATAGCTATTTCCCTATCAGTACAGGCATACTTACAATGGTGGAATGTCAGACAAATTTCACCCATAGATAGCCCCCGCTGACAAAACTCAGACACTTTCTCTAACCTTGATTAAACATCGTGATAAAGAACTTGATAAAAGTAAATCCCTTGAGTATTTTCCTCAAAGCAGATTAACTGAGTTGAATGCAGAGTCTGCACAAAATTTGAGAAGTGTATGCTACCTTCTGAAATGAAATACTACAAATGTCAGCTAACTGCCTTGGGCAGTGAAAACAGGACCCAGATTCCATGGTGTGCTAGACGGTAGGCACCATCAGACACCCAAATCAACATTTCAAATAACTTGTTTGTCACAGTTGGTAAAAACAAAAGAAAGACATTCACTGTATAATAGAAGAAGAATGTCTTTCATGTCATTAAGTATCAATGCATGCACTAAGTAGCTTTAAAAAATCTCATGTACAGTGAATCACTTCATGCTTTTAAATGACAAGTTAATGTACAGATGTGTGAGATGGAAGTTTTCTAGCTTCAGGCACCTTTTTATTCTGATTTCTCATAAGCAGATTAATATAATTAACAATACATGAAGCTCAAGTCCAGAGTCAGCAACTGAACGAATTATGTACTAGCTAATTAATTCACCCATTCACCCATTCAACACATATTTAAGAGTTAACTGGGACACATCAGTGTGGGAGGGAGGGTGGAATGGGTGCTAGGATAGGAAGTATCACGTTGCTCTTAAAACTGTATAAATAAAATGCATTAAATTTGTTCCCTTTTTATAAATAAGAAAAAGTTTCTTATTCCCCCAAAGCAAGAAAGTACATTTTTAAAAGGAAAAACTAATAACTTCAGGACTATATTTTGATGTTGCTTTTGTGAGCCCCTTTTTAATAAAAATACATTTTAAATTACGTTCTAAAGCTGCATTGTTGTAAGGTGAATATATAAAAAACATGATTTAAACATAAAACTTCACTTTTTTTCTGAAGATTTTCAGAGAAGTGAAACATACTCAGGAGTCGCTCATCAAACGGTGCCTATTGTGCTTCATAGGGAAGTAAACCTTGCAAAAATCCTCTTATATAGATTGCAATAAGGTTTGAGGAACAGAAAACAAATGAGATAATAAAAACAAGGCACTAACCATATATTACGAGGTAGTGAGAAGTCCCAGGGGAAAATTATAGGTGGAAATATCAGGGGTAGAATGGGTAATTTCAATATTAAATCTTCTATTTATTTTAAATGGGAGAGAGAGAGGTTGCTCATACAGCCACTGATTCACTCCCCCAAATGCCAACAAGCGTTAGATGATTCCAGGTCAAACGTGGGAGCAGGGAACTCAATTCAAATCTCCTAAATTCATGGCAGAGAGCCAAATACTTTAGTTATCTCCTATTTATTCTCATGGTATGCATTAGTAGAAATCTGGATTGGAATCAGATCCTAGACTTGCAATGTAGAATGCAGGCATCCCAAGAGACATTTGTCTTAAATAATCCATCGAGAAAGTCCTATGATCTTAATTGGAATAACCAAAAAAGTCCTCTTTGAGAAAATAATGTCTATATAAAGACCTATATTTTACCCAGATTAATTTTCCTCATTGATATTTATTCATTATAATCATGAGAATTATAAAATTAGTATTTTTTCAATTTTTTAAAACTTTCTGTTAGGTATATATATAGATGCCAGAAAGATAACAGTTGGTCAAGGATATTAGTAAAAGAAGAATTATACACCACAGGTTTTATGTTCTGCTTATGTTCTATACATTTAGGGAAATGAACTACAGAATGTAACCAAACTTAACATGTTGCTTGTGCCAGATGTTATGACATTAAATCAACTCTTGAGACAGTGCATCCTTTACTGGCTAACATAGCTTTGAATTCTCTGTTCAGTTTTGTTCTGGCTTCTGGCTAATGTGCCTAGGAGATGGCAGGTGATGCTCTAAATACTTGGGTCTTTGCCATCTACAGATAGACCATGAGGGAAGATTTCTCTCTCTTTATTCAATGTCTGTGTGTGAGTATATGTGTTCCTCTCATCACTGCCTCCCAAATAAACAAATAAATCTTGTAGAATGGAAGTGATTTCAAATGTAATTTCATTTCCCAGAAGCGACTGAGAAAGGTATGTATAGGCCCTGACTTTACTCTTGATATTGTTTTTCTCTATTAGAAGAAAAAGTGTATTTTGCATAGACTCACTCTACACCTCCCCATTCTCTCTTGAAGGATAAACTTGTTGCACAAACAGACCTAATGACAAAGACAAAATGCTTCCAGCCAACCATGCAGGTTTGTGCCTAACATTTTGAAGACTCTAAATGACACTTCAGAACACCAGTGAACGCCAACCTCAGGCACATAGTCCAAAATAGAGAACAGGAGCGTATTTTCAAGGTCAGTCACTTGGGTGCTCTTACTGTGAGACCCATTCTCTCTCTCTTGAGAGAGGCGTATCTCAACTCAACCATTTGCGTACATTATTCCTCTGCTTCACATATGACACAAGCCTTGGACTGGTTTCCCCTGAACCAGCCACTGATTGTTTCCCTAGAAAAGTAAATAATTAATCTGTAAAGCAGGGACATACCCACATAGGCACATTACCCTTTTGCAGTAATGCAAAAGCTGTGGCTTTGAAGAGTTCCCTGGACTGAGGTATCAAACCCACTTCTCTTTCCATAAAAGCCCAGACTTTTCTCATCCTGTTCCCCTTGAAGGCAGATTTTAGGCTTGCCCTGGAGAAAACCTGCCTCTCAGCCTTGGCTCTGGCATTGAGCAAGCTTCCATATAGCGTGCCTCACACCTAGCTCCCTAGTGATCATTTTAAAGAGCGAGCAGCTAATTTCCTCAGGAAGCGTTTGCGGTTGACCAAGACATGTGTTACTGTTCAGAAACACCCACTTGCTTCATGTGGTTCTTCAAGCTTCAAACTTATTCAGCATTGCTGTCTTCTATAATTTCCCCTAGCTTCTCTTTCTCATAATGGTTCTTTGCAGGGATATGAATTCTCTACAGCCCCCTTAGCCATGCCTGGCCGAAAGCTGTAGATAAAAGTGATTTGTAAAAACACCACGAGTACCTTCTGGGCCAGGCCACTGTGCTGGGAGCCCCTTAGCCACCCCAGTTCTGTGGCAAATTTCCGTTGAGATGCACTCTTTATACAGGGACCTCTCATTTGGATCTTTCATGCTTGACCTGGCCTCCTACCTTATTAAGACGTTTTATTTCACATTCGTAATGCTCCTTCTTCTTGTTCACAAGAATATTCTTTTCTTTCAAAAGCTTATTCTCTTTTTTTAACTCATGTAGTTCTTCATTTAGTCTTTCACTTTCCTTCTGGTGTAAAGGGCAGAGAAACAAGATCAAAGTGAGTAAAAGTCAAAGATTGATGTTTCAGGAATCCTAATAACCTCAGTGACTGATGTCAGGCAGTTGGGGTCATCCTCCTGAGATGCAGTAAAACAAGTAAGTAAAACCAGTAAAACTGCCAAGGTTTTCTCTGGATGTTCCATTTTGGCATGGACTCTGCGTAGAGCATAGAGTTGGCACATTGGTTTCGTCAAAACTTTGTGCTGTCCCCTCCCCCCCAAAAAGGAGTGAATTTCACAATCCTTACTTTCAGTCATCTACTAAGTGAGTCTGCAGAATAAGGTGAATCCTATAGAGTGTTATTAGCTAAAGTGTAAGAGTCTGTGAAAGTAGTTGAAAACTCCTTAGGCGGGGGGTGGGGGGATGGAAAATCTTCATTGCAAGAAAACCAAGTATCTCAAGGCCTACAGGAAAAAATTCTAAGCAGACACTTACTACGAATAGTTATTCTGAACATTATATGCTGATTCTTAGTATTTTTAAAGAACTTTTTAATTTCAAAGACGTATTTACAGAGAAGGAGAAATATCTTCCATCCACTGATTCATTCTTCAAATGGTTGCAGTGGTCGGAGCTGAGCCAATTCAGAGCCAGGAGCCAGGAGCTTCCTCTGGGTCCATATGGGTGGAGGATCCCAAAATTTTGGGCTGTCCTCCACTGATTTCCCAGGCCATAAGCAGGGGCTGGATGGGAAGTGGGGCAACCGGGACATGAACCAGCACCCATATGGGATCCCAGCGTGTGCAAGGTGAGGATTTTAGCCACTAAGTTACCACACTGGGCCCTGATTATTATTTTTAAAGGGAAGAGACAAACTATTCCAACCGCCATCATCCTTCCATGTTTAAGAGCATTATTAAGAAATGCACTGCTATAAATCACTGAAGGTTAGCTGCTTAGACACCAACAACCTCTGGATTCAGACACCGTGTCTCAGATCTCCAATGTCCAGTGAGCTTGAGATTCAAACTCAATTATTTCACAATTTGGTAACTCAAAATCAGAGACTAGCTAATACAGACATCATAGTATCTTATTTTCATCATTAAAAATTCCCAATGCAATTACTGAATTTAAAAAATCTACCTGAGAGAAGTCACTTCTTTAAAAATGAAAACATATTTACTTTTATTTGAGCAGATCAGACCTTTGTGTTAGAAAATGAACCATTCATTACCTAATTCATCACAATTAAGGAGAAATTTGCTTTAACTAGAAAATGGTTCCATTTGCATCAGGGGAAATGTCCTACAATTTCTGGACATGCTGTAATTGGAAAGGTAAGTAATGGAAAGTAATTATTAAACCCTGCTTCCTGATTCCCTGGGACAAGACAGGGGAGCCTGAACCTACGTCACCTGCCTGACGCCAGACCTCACCTTACCATGCAGGTCTGCCAGCGCTGCCCAGTGTCAGCCCTAAGGCTTCACTTTCCCAGTGGTCAGTTTTTGTTGTTGTTGTTGTTGCTTTCCTGACTTTATCTAAAGGATTGAGAGGCCATGGGGGATATTTTCTCATTTTGTACGCTTCATGGAGCCAGATAACAGACACCAGAAGGAAAAGTATCTTTGGGGAGGAGTGCTCATGTCAGTTCGTCCCCACTTCCCATCACAGGGATTGGAGAAGGCAGGGAAGCTGGAATCTGGGGCCCTGCCCCATTTCCTTATAGGCCCCTTTAGCAGCACTGCCAAACTCACCAGCCTTCTGAAAATGGAGAAGCACTTTTCCTCAAGAAGCCGGCTGGGAAATTAAATGAGATGAGAGCAAAGTGCTTTACAAATGTTATGTTTTCTTTTGAGTACAGAAAGAATACCTACTTGTAAAGCTGGGGCTACTGTATAAACATAAGGAATTGGATAATGATTATTGATAATCTCCGGGAACTAAAAACACACATGAATTTAAGCTAAAAACAAAACAAAACAAATAAACAAACAAAAACCCAAAAGTCTTCTATCCTGAAATGGCCTGGAAAGATATGACCAAATCTCTGGATGAGTTTTCTCTTTGCTAGTGTGACCTGGCAAGCCGCTGCGTGCCTATGACACGTACAAACACAGCGGAAACCGCCGGAGTCTCTCCTTCCTTCTTACACCAGAGAATGCCCTTTATTTGTGGTTTTTGAGGACTTGCATAACCGTGCATCCTCACATAGTGGCAGAGCTCAGCAGTGACTTGATTTTAGCAAAAACGGTAGCTTTTTCAACAGGAAACCAGAGCTGCTTTTGCTTAACTCCCTGGGGGCCCAGGGGGATGAACTCCCTCACCCCGCCCACCTCGTCGTGCTGCCAGGGGTCCGGGGTCAAGTGGCCAGGTCCGTGGCTCTCTCCTAGGATCTGCGGACGATCCTTGTGGCTGCTCAGGGATCTTTGCACCGCATCCAGTTTCGTTTTCATCTCTGAGACCTGAGGAAGTAGTTCACAGAGTGTAGCTGACACCTTCTCTGAAACCCCCGGCAGGCTTGGACTTTCCCCACCCCTACTCCACCTCACCCCACCCCCCGCCGCGGGGTCGTCCAAGCACTTAGGGACCTAAGTGCCTTTTCCACTTCCCACTGGCTAGAATGTAGATCAAGATATTTGCATTCTAAAAGGAACCTGGTGAACGCGGGGAATCAAAGCTTGGATCGGGCCTCTCTAGGGTTGTTATCTTAATTTGCAAGACCGGCCTTGCCCAAAGGAGGCTTAGAGACCAGGAAGAAACTGCCCACTTCACAGATAAGCAGGCCTGGCCTTAAATGTGTCCCTAATCTGCAGTACTTCATCTTCCAATGGAGACTAAATTGTAGGCATGGAGACAACAGTCCAGTGAAACAGTCCTGGGAGAAGGACCCTTTTTCCAAAGCCAACACCATGTCTTTGCACACCTGCAAGCCTTTCGAGAGAACATTCTAGACATGGTCTCTGGGCTTCCTCTTTAGAATTTGCAGACCCCAACTGCCTCAGAGTGGATCTTTCCAGAGGCCTGACCATTGTTTGGTGGAGTGGGAATCTTGTCTTCCACCTCCAATATTTGATATTTGTGAATTATCAAAATGGGGGGGGGGGGAGAGGGAAAGAACAATGCTGCCTTATAACCTTGTGGTCAAAGTTCTTAATTCTGAATTATTTAGGGGAGCTTACTTTCTCCTTTCCCTCTTTTTGACGACAGAACGATTTCAGAGTCTACTCTGACCTTTACCTATTGAAGGGATTCACTCTAAGTCATTCCTCTCTCCTCAAAGCCAAAGTTCCTTGAGAGTGAAAGTGCTTCAGAGAGGAGGGAGAGAATTATCCCCTTTCCCCTCACGGGTTCCCTTGGATCACTGTTCCTTTGTGAACAAGACCTAGTGTGTTCTCATTGGAGAATTACAGACCTGGCATTGCACGCATCGTTGTGAACTTGACACTGTACCTCACCTCACCTGTAGCCTTGCCACACCACGGAGGCTAGGAAGCCAGGGAAGGGCACAAAGTACTGTGAACCCTGGAGACCTGGGGAGGTTAGTGATCACACCTTTCTGAAACCCTGCTCAACGCTGACACTCTTCATTAATCCTCCAAACCAAGCATGCCTACCCTTCCTTGTTTGAGAGCAGGTTACCCACAGGTCTTCTTGTAGTGGAAATCAATGAGAATCTTCACCCATTTGGCCCCTTCAGAATTACTAGTTTTAATAAAGGAGAAAATTGTTTACCTTTCTTTCATATGATTCTTTCATGGTCCTAAATTGCTGATCCCATTGCCGATTAACTTCCAGGAGCTGAAATTATTAAAATTTGGCGAATCAATAAAGGTTGTGACCCATTTGGAAACAACCAAAATGAAATTCCTTTTTGAGGAACTTTGGAAACCTTGGATGAAGACAGTATTTCTTCCAATTCTGACAGGGCTGGGACAATTGAATTGGACCTTTCATTTTTTTTTTTTATGTAAAACCATTAACTCTAAGATGTACCTATGACCGTTTACCAGAAACGTTCAATTTCTTTTAATTATTTGATTGTTCATCCTTTTTGTTTAGCCCAATTAGGATCTGATAAAAATTCGTAAGCTTTGGTGGTTGTCACTAAGATGTATTTATGTATGGACAGGGCGCAATAGCCTAATGGCTAAATCCTTGCCTTGCTACTGCCAGGATCCCATATGAAAGAATCCACTTCCATCCAGTTCTCTGCTTGTAGCCTGGGAAAGCATTCAAGGATGACCCAAAGCCTTAGGACCTGGCACCCACATCAGAGACCCAGAAGAGACTCCTAGTTCCTGGCTCCAGATCAACTTAGCTCCATCCAATTTCAGGGATAGTCCCATGTAACAGTATCATTATGCTTGCTAGGACTATAGTTCAGAAATTTTCTGGAACAACAAAATATTCCATGCAATATTGAGGAGCAGAAGGCACTTTGAAAAGAATACAATGTTATAAGAGACAGAATATGTCTTTTTAAAGAGGATACAATATTCACAGTCTATGGAATGCTGAAATCATTATATTTTGCTTCTCTCCTTTGTCAAGAAAAGAAATTGTAACATTCACTATAATCAGAAAAACAGAATTCAAATAGTATTTGTCAATTTCCAATACTATTTTAGAAACAAGTTTTTTTTTTTTTTTAATGATTGTGTTCCTCAACGTGTGTATTTGGATGCCCAATTTAGGAATTCACAATATCAAAATCACCCGCACTTACATAAGAAGAACTAATGGTTTGAATTTCAAGGTGTGTCAAGTTGCACGAAATACAGGCCACAGGCCATGTTCTCATAAGGGCAATGAGGAGACTGAGTTTAGGAAAAATCAGAATTATAATGATCATATTTATGAATTTTATATTTTTCCTTCAACTTATAAGCACCAGGAGAGCAAGTGCAAGATAAATAGATAAGGAGAAAGCAACTGCATTCAAACTGTGACCCAGTATTCTAGAGAAAAATATTGTGGCTGAATACTAAAAATACAGGGTGATACCGTGATACATGAGACATTAAATCTTATTCCTACATACCTCTTTTATCTGCTTTTCCAAGCATCTTATCTTTTGTTCGAGGACATTTGTCAAGTTCTTTCTTGATTGAGCACACTTTAAAAAAATAAAGATGATGATAAAAACAAAACAGTCTACAAAATAAACATGAGAAATGAAATAATTCAGATACCCAGCGCATTTGCTCAGTTCTCACATTGTGATTTGTAAACATTTGATTTTACAAAGGCAATCCTCATATTCTAAGTCCTTCAGAGAGACTTAACTGGCTTCATATTATATTTTGAATCCCTTAAGTAGTTTCCAAAATATTTTTCCAATAAATTATAAGTATACCTCTATAATGGGAAAGATAGAAATTATAAATGTCATAAATTTGAATTTCAGTTATTTTCCTCAAAAGACAACCATTAAGACTACAATGGCTTATAGAAATTCAGTTTCACAGATACATATTAGATATTTCAGTAGTACACCTTTCTAAAAAGCCAGTTTTGTAATAGGGTCCATGAACATAGGGTCAGTAAGATTTTAGAGCGGTTCTGGCTAAAATCAGTAATAGAACCACACTGAGTAAAGACCAACAGACGTGACTAAAATGGGCAAATGGATTGTAAAATTAACACGTTACTACAGTGAGGATGATACAAGTATGCTGAAGAGATGAACATGAATATCAGCTTCTTTGTAATTTTGACCAGTTCTTTGAATAAAGCCCTATTCTAGTTAATGAAGGATTATACAAATTTAAACAAGCTCCTTTTTTCTTTCTTTTTTCAGGATGGGAGTATTCACATACAGCCAAAAGCTCTAGAAGATTCCTGCTCTCTGCCTAAATCTACCACCAGCCAAAATCTCACTTAAGTAAAGGATCGTTTTTCTCTAATGTAGCTCGGAAGTCTCGTTACCATTTCATCTTTGAGTCATTGAAGTAACACAATTAATTGAACTATGTCTTCAATCCTTAATGCTGTGTTCATTTTCAAGCTGGGTCATGAAATTCTTTAAAGACATACATGGACAATTAAAATATTTTTGAAAAGATGAAAGCTTTTGTCAGAAATGTTTATAGGAGTAGTTCTTTTGCAGGTGGCATGGGATTTCATGAATTTTTTTTCAATAGAAATAATTTAGAAAATTGTATTCCTTCTTTTTTTGCTTTGTTTGCTTTTGTCTAATCCTGTTAGAGTTGGATGATACTTTACAGCAGAGTAAATGCTATCCTGGTTTTATTCTTCCATATTTTTATAACAAGGACTCCATTTTAAATATGACAGTCTTTTGCTGGTCAATTACTTTAGAATGATCTTACAGCACTGGTTTATTGGTGCACCAAGAGTGACATCAAATCTTGGGTGGCAAATCATCACTGCAATTGGACTGCCTTTTTGGAAAAGACTTCTAAAATTGTAGGCCCATGGCCTTGCATGATTGTTCAGTGGCTAACTCCTAACCTTTTAAGTGCCAGGGTCCCATACATGTCCTGGCTGCTGCAATTTCCTTCCAGCTCCCTTCTTGTGACTGGGGCAAACAGTGGAGGATGGCCCATAGCCTTGGGACCCATGTGGGAGACCTTGAAGAAGATTTGCTTCGAACTGGCTCAGCTTTGGCCATTGTGGCCACTTGGGGAGTGAACCAGTGGATGGAAGATCTTTTTCTCTGTCTCTTCTTTCTATCTGCTGGTTCACTCTCCTGTTACCTACAAAGCAGCAGCTCAATCTAGGCGTTCTAAATGGGTGATGGGGATGCAAGGACTCGAGTTGTCATTTGCTTACACCCAGTGTGCACATTAGCAGGAAGCTGGAATGTACAACAGAGCTCAGTCATGAACCCAGGCACTCATAAGGGATGAGGGTGTCTAAAAGACATATTGACTGTTGTGCCAAATGCCCACCCATAACAAAGAAATGTCTTAGATAATCATTAGTCATACTAGAGCTCACTAGCTCATTCTAGACTTTCCTTGGAAACACATACAAAAAAATCTTCAGTTTTTGTGATACAGACAAAAATCTGTAACCAGCCAACATTTGCAGCCCAAAGCAGTGTTTTCTTTTTCCCATGAATAATTTTCTCTGGAAAGATTTCTATTTTAATTTCTGTTTAATCAGTTAAAATTTCTGGAAAGCTAAACACCAAGTTTATGCAAGATTTCACTTGTAACTGTAAGAGTACTAAGTTCTGAAGCATGGAAGTAATCATTAGAAGTGGGGAGGAAGGGAATATTGGGAAACACATAGAAAAGAACGGCCCATCAGCCATAAATGCAACACAAGGGGTCACTCTGAGGTTATTCAGCATTTTGCTATGGATCACCTTTCCTAGGTTCCTGTTCAAATGAAGTAAATAATTCAAATGCAAAGGATATGGGAAGGGCATTATTTATTTGTATTTACTTTGCTTTCCAGTCAGTAATGAATTCATTTATATTGCAATACATACAAAGATTTTGGCCATGGGTTCTTGCAAGCTTACCTAGTTACAGAACAATTATTCCCTATAAGTAATTCTGTATAATCATTCTAATAAAGCATAATCTGTATTCAGAGTATGTGGTCATTAATTTCTCTACTGTAACATTCATGCCAACATCCTTTTATTCAAGTTCTGGTGTTACTCATACCTAAAGCAGATAAAGAGTTCTTTGTTTTCCATAATACCTTGATTAGCTTCTAAAAATTAAAAACAAAAGAGTATAACTATAGTAAAGCAGTTTTATTCATTCATTCAAATAATAAGCCTAGAAAAAACTATGTTTCAGTTGGGAACATATAAACATTTTACTAGAGATACTTCTTTGCTTTAGTATGATTTGTTGCTACCACACCAATACTAAGTTGCTTTCTGATTTTTACCTTGAATATATTACTTTAAATAAATCACAAGTGTAGATCCTATGAACTTGGGCAATTGGAAGGGGTCCAGGCATATTTATACCTTTTATTTTATAAAAGAAGAAACATAAGCCAGAGAGCTTAAAGGCAGTGCAACAGTTAGTTACTTTGGTTAAATATACAGAGCAGATCATCAGTAAGAAAAGAAAACTAGCCATTTCTGCTGTTATTAATCCCCAGGCACTTAGCAGCTGGATATGTCATTGATGCTAGCAATGGCCCATTCATCCCCTGGAAATGTGACCTTACCTCTGCCTGCTCCGTGGACTCTTCTGCAGCACTGCTTCTAGGTGTGCCCTGCATAAGATGTGCCATGGAAGCTGTTTCTCCTAGAACCTTATTTAGCAGAAATAAAAAGAAAAAAGAGATTCCATATGGAGTCTTTTTAGGATGAACCCAAATATTATAAAATAGAAAAAACCCACACCATTAACCAATGATAAAAAATAATAGCATTGATTTGTCAGTGCAAGCGAAAAGAAGTGACTCTGTGTGTGAATGATGCATCTATGCCTCTCAGCACAGACACTGGGGTCTTAACTTTTTTCTCTTCCAAAAGGGATTTCCCAGGATGTCACAATGAGGCAGACTGTGACGAAGACCTGGGGCTGATCAGCCTTACAATGGTATGTAAATTGCCATTCTTCCTTTACTGGCAGTGTTTCTGTTGGAGGAGGAAGTTACCACCACAGAAAGCCTGGGCAAACCAGCTCTTTCCTCAGTAGCCTAACTGCCATAAACTCATTGTCTTTCCCAGAGCAATTACGTAATGACTTTTTGTCAGCTTGATAATTTGTTTCCCCAATCGCATGATTTTCTGGCCATATCTGCTAAATCTGAGTCTAGTTGTGTAGAACTTAATGAGTCACATTCAATTCTCTAAATGTAACTAATTCTTACAGAATGGGAAAAAAAATCATTACAAAAGAAAATGAGCATTGTTCACAAAGTCTATGCTGGCAGAAAAGGTAAACCAGGTTTTCAAGTTTAAGGCCTATCTTCTCTCCATAAGTTATCCATAATCTTCCCCATGACTCATTTTTTTTTGTACCAATGTTTTAGCTTTAATTTTCATTAATTGATGCCAGTCCTTTGACAGGGCCATGCGATTATGGAACAACAGAAGAAAAGTAACGCAGGTAAAAGCACAGAAATGGTATAAATGGACCACGATGGAGCAGATCTATTTCTGGACTTGGAGTGAAAGCAGAGACGTGGAACATGAGAAAAGGAAGATTGTGTTATGAAAGCAGAAAACAGCACTGATCATTATTTAAAGTCTTATTAGACCTGCTTATTGTATAGCCACATGGATGTAGGATAGAGACTACAACTCGGAATTGCACACTATTTAAAAGTGAATGATTGCAGGTCCAAGATTTGAATCAGCCTTTTCTCCTTAATGTGTTCCAGTTCTCTGCAGCTCTACCTTGTGCTCCTGTCATAAGAAACTACCTCCGTTTTCTGAAGCATTTTTCTATCCCATTCCCTCCCCCATGCTGTTCTCGTCACTGTAAGACTGCATTCCCCCTCTGACCCAGTGGCCTCTAAAACCAAACTATTGCCTTTCTTGCCCTCTGACATGTTGACCTCCCCTCATCAGTCAAGAAGAACACTTGCAATTGATTATTTACCTTTCCCTGCGCTCATCCCTGTGTCAACAGCACACTGGTTCTGAGCAGCGTGAACCAGAGCAGGTGTTCAACACATTTTGCTACATAAATAAAATGATGACTCTCTTGTTAATTAAATGATTTGCTAGCCTTACAGACTTTGTGTCCATGTATGTTTGTTTATGATTTTATTCTCGGCTGTTTTCTTTCTCTGTTTTGAAGATGGGCTTCACTGACAGAGAACAATGTTGTCTTAAAGCCATGTCCAAGACAACAGGTGAGAATCAATCTGCTTTTTCAGAGTACAAAAAATAAATGCTATGATTCAATTTGATTCAATTATCTAGCTGTAGGGAATAGAAGAAGGGAGTTTACGGAGACTGATGCTTTATTACTCATTGGGAAAGGAAAGTAAAATATAAAAACATTTATTTCCAGAAACACACACACATACAAGAGCTTTATTGAGTTCCATATTCCCTTCAGCCTTATCTTTTATTAGTAGTAATAGCACAGTGGACGTGGTAACAATGACCTGAAAAATTTTCTCTTGGTAGGAAATACTGTCCTTAGCTTGTTTTCTATCGGATCTTCCAGGTAACAGTATCCTAGAGGTACTGTCTTTCCTATGGTGGCTCCATTAAGTGGAAATCCTAAACCTTTGCATTTTTCACGACAGTTCCTGTCTCTACTGCTATGTAGGTTAACAAAAAGCAGGTTTTCTATTAGCACAAGAGAGTCATGAATGAACAATAATTATTTTGGAGAATCTCGAGTTGGATTTATGAAAAGTGAAATTTCATATAAGCCAGTCTCAGGAATGACTGTGTGTTTTCTGTTACATATGCTCTTCGCTCTCGACTTTATCCTTCTCTCACACATACTCTGTATTTTAAGATTCTGGCAACTCGTCATGCTGTGTTCCTGAAAAGCCTCACCAGCTGAAACAACTTTCAGAGATGTAGAGGCATCACTTAGTGTTTCCCAGGCTACTTTGAAGGGTCTCCATTTCTCAAGTGGCTAAAATGCTATAAAGAGGGAAAACTAACAAAGAGAAATACAATAAAGGAAAAGGGTAAGGAAGTGTCAGTTACTGGTATCATTCAGCTTGACAATTTATTCGCTGAATATTGGTCCCAGAGAAGAGCTTCACATTTCTGTAAATGCTAAGGGATATCATTTGCAGGTAGAAGAAACATGCCCTTGTCCTTCACATCCTTTTAGAGTGAGGGTTGAGTACTTTTCTTCACTTCTTGAATCTATTTATGTAAGAGTTTAAGTGTGACACCTAGGTAGGAAAGAGAAGACCTACTTGGTGACAACTATGATATGGCTCTAAGGGCAGGTCAGTGGAATCTGTTCTTAGCAAACACAATCATTGCTTGTGGCTCTTGAAAAGATGCTTCATGTTGCTAAGACTCAGTTTCCACATTTATACAACATCATAGGAAAAGTCTTCCAAGGGTTGAACTCTATTACAAGAACATAAAAGATACATGTAAATAATACATATAAGAAACATAGATAATGACAATTACACACACATATGGAAACACACACACACATACATTTGAAAAACCAAGTAGTAAATGAAAGCAAGTAAATAAGCTTAGAGACAATAAAGTCTGCAAAGTTGGGAGGAGAAAGAGCTCATTTTCAGACTTAGTAGTTGCAGTTTCCATTGGACATTGAGTGTGGCTAGGGCTTATATACATGATGACAGCTGAAATACTGTGCTGATTAGAACTTTGACAGACGGTGGAAGCTAAGTGGCTGTGCTATAATGGCAGTAACTTAGTAAATAGCATGGAGATGCACAAACTTAAGGATGGTGTGACAAGCCCAGTTTTACCACAGTAGGGGTTCAGGGCATACTAAAGTTAACAAAGATGGAATCATAAAAGGATTTAATTTCATACTAAGAAATGTTGACATTATATCACAGATAATGGGGAGCTGCTAAAGACCCCGAGCAAAAGAATTGCATGGTTCAAATGATTTTTAGTAGGAAAAAACCGGGGAATGCACAGTACGTGTTCAAAATATTCCACAGCTTGTGGCACTCAAAATATTCAGCAGTCAGTTCACTGGGACACTTAGAATGGCCCACAGCCCTGAACTCCAGACTCCAGTCTTAAATATTTGCTTGTGGATATAAATCATCTCTAGGTGGATGTTTGCTAGTTACTTCCCTCTCCACCTGTCTCAAACAGAATTCTCAATGTTTCCCATGGGTCATGACTTCCTCATCACAATGACAACTTTCATAGTCTCCACCAACAGTTTTAGGAGCCATCCTTCACTCCTTTCTCAAAGTCTGTGTCTAATACACCTGAACATCTTCAGAAAGAGAGAGCAACCCATCACCATAAGAACCTAGGCATGCTCCAGTGTAATGAGGGGAAAGGTGAAAAAAAAAGCACACCTTTCTACAATCTCCTCAAACCAGAGATTTTAATATTTGCTTCCTGACTTATCTTGGGCTCTGTATCAAGTTCTCACTCTGTTCCTTACTACTGATCTGACTCTGAAAGTTTTTAGCATCTTTGGATTGACATTGAACTACCTTCACCCCTTAGTTGGATGTTGCAATAGCTTAAGGATTTCCTCCTTCTACTTTTACTCTCTCCCCTTCCCTTTATTTATACAGTAGCCTTAGTGAGTCTTTTCAAATGTCATTTCATGTCACTTCCCTACTCAGAACCCCCCTCTTCCCATCTTACTCAGAGTGAAAGCAGAACTCCCTGCAGTGGCCAGCAAGATCCTTCACAATTGTGCTCATGGCTCTGACCTCCATATCAGTATCCTCCCATTTGACCCCTCACCCTGGTCCACGCAACAACCACACAGCAATTGCTTTCCTCTGTCTGTACCTATCTCTTCCAAAGATGTCACAAAGGGGTCATCCCTTTGTCTTTAATAAGTAATGGCTTAAATGATATCTGTTTTTGCAGAACTTACCTGGCCTCTATAATGTAAAATTTCTTAGCACTCTAGCACTTTCTATCCATCTTTGCTGTTTTCTTTTGCCCTAGCAGTATATCTAACCAGCTCCATAGTTTTTTATTTGCTCATTGCTAATAACTTGAAGCCTGTAAACTCCATATCATCATTATTTTATTTATTTATTCAACAGGGAGAGGGAGAGAGAGAGGGCAAAAGAGGCAGAAAAACAAAGCACTCTCACTAGCTGATTCACTTCTACATGTTCATAAAGGCTGGAGAATTGCAGCCTTGAGCCAGAAACCCAACCTAAATTTCCCATATAGGTGTCATTAACCCAATTATTTGAGCCATTACAGTTGCCTCCCAGGAAAAGCAATTTCAGGGAGCTGGAGTCAGGAGCCAGGAGTCAGGTGATCTTATATATGAAAAAAGGCATACTAGTTGGTGATTTCACTACCAGATCAAATGCCCACATGATGACAGCAATTTTTGTATAGAGTGATCAGTTCATCTCTCTCACACCTAAATAGTGCTTGTTATTTTAATACCTACCCCTGTGCACAGAGGGCTCAATACAGAGAAATCGCACTCCCTACACTGAAACAAATCTGTCATGTTCTCAAACATAATCATGTCAAAGTTTATAAAAGGTTTGAAGACCAGAAACTTCAACTTACTAGCTTCTATTCTAGCTAATGATGTCTCTTTTACCACTTAAGCTCCATTTTAGATTAGGAGATAAAGAATTTAAAAAGTGTGTGTGTGTGAGAGAGAGAG